CTCGTATCCAGTCATGTACCAAGACTTTTATTGTGAGCAATTCAGCTTGGTCTCATTTAGATGTGCGCACAACTGAACAGATAAATCATATCGAAACAAAAATCAAGTTTCGGTCGAAATTTTTATTCTTGCAATTTTTTGACTGAAACTTGGCTTTTTTTCGGTGTGATTAGTCTATTCATTTGTATGCATATCAAGATGAAACCAAACTGAGTTGTTCATAGTAAAAGTCTCGAGGATTCTTGCCAAAGAAAAACATCTAATCTTTGTTAGCGATTCCTCAGTCTCGGTATGTACCTGTACATATACTCTAGTTAAACCCACATTGAAAACTTTTTTTGTTTCGAATAGTGCATAACAATTTTATGTTTCTACATATTAATTGAATTGAAAATTGTAGAATCAACTAGTTACCTTTTAAATGCAACTGAATTTTAAACTCAACTCCGACACTTATATATCAATATTTTAGAAGATGAAGAACTCGATGAAGAAACATTAGCTATGAAAGCCATGGGTTTACCAACTTCATTTACATCATCATTGGTAATTTAAAGACACTCCTTCTCCCATTCTTTTTTTGACTACTTCTAGTTCTTGAAGAGTATACAATCGATCAAACTGGAATTTTTACCACAGATACTTGAAAGTATTCTCGAGAGATAGACTCAGTCACTTTTATTTTTAACCTTCGTGTTCGGCTCTATAGAGTTCTAAAAGCCAAATCCCTGATCTTAGCTCTGAGCTTTTACGTATTTTTTTCATTAGAAAAAAACAGAAAGTGAGATTTCAACAAAAAAAATTCAAAACTAGCTGTCGGATATAGTCTCAAGTATCTCGAAAAAAATTTTCAGCACAATCAGACAAAATTTGATAGGGATCGTAATGCACTAAGATACAACTGCATGGAAAACTAGAGTTTTACATAAAAATCTCTTTGAAATTTTTTTCCTTGGACAATTTTAGGTACTCTATCTGTAGTAAAAATATTCAGCCTCATGGGTCATGCCCTTGTCCAGAACCAGAGGATGTCAAAAAAAGACGAGGAAGTTTTCTAAAACAGAAACTTATATGTAATTATCTTATTCTAAAGATTGAACGATCAAAACCTCATCGACAAACACGTTCACGATCATTATCTAATGAACAAACAACAGGTAAGCAGACAAAAAAAAAGCAATTTCAATTCAATTTATCTTATAAATTTATAGATGATTCATTACTTGAAAATACTCAATTAACTAATAATGATTTATTTAAAAATGCATTAAATGATTGGCTTGTCTATTGGAATCGTGATGGTTATCAATTAGCAACAAATACATGGACAACAAATTCAGATATTCATAATCAATCTGATGGACATGATACATCACATTCATCAGATGATTCATTAACAAATATTCAAAATGAACAAGTCTTAAGTGATCTTTGGCGTGAGCATTATCTATCTACATATGATAAATCTCTTCGTGAATATTGTTTAAATCATGAACTTGATTATGAACAATTTGTTGATTATATTACAAATATTTATGGTATAAATGAAAATGATGTACGAATAAAAACTATTAATGAATTTGATGTAAAGAAAAATTCTTTTTCTTTTTTTGATTTTTCGATTAATTTTATTTTTATATATTTAGTCTAATGATGATAATGATGAAATGCATAAACGAATGAAAACTAATAGTGATTTAATCAATGAAGAAAAAGAAATAAAAAATCAATTTGAACATCTTGGTCTTTATTTAGATAATTCAAATTTATCAAATATAAAATCATCATTAATTGAATATACAAAAAATTGGAATCATTTATCCTATGGACTTATTCTTAAACAAACTATTCATTTACATACACAATCAATTGATGATGATAAAATGATTATTGATGATAAAGATATTAAAGATAAAAAACGAAAAGGAAAAAAATCAAAATCAAAACAAACTATTCTTGATAAGAAAAATATTCCGGAAGAATTTCATAATGATTCTGAACTTTTAAAATATTGGCTTCAACGTTATCGACTTTTTTCAAAATTTGATGAAGGAATTGTTCTTGATAGAGGTATTAGAATTAAATTAACTCTTTACTTCCCCACAGCAATTCTAGGAGAGCCACCACTACATTAGAATGGAATAGGGATGTCTCAGATATATCGATAGTGTGGACAGATCGATCAGACACGCTTTCCTTTACTCAGTCTAGTGACCATTGAAGGGAGAACAATTTGATAAAAATTCTATCTGACGAGGGAACTACTTCGTGTAACACCTGCCGTTTGAGTTCATATTGAACCCACAGGCAGGTCTCAGTGAGAATAGCAAAAGTCTAACAGGATTCATCTCCATTGACCTTCCATGCCGAATTATGATCAGTTTACTAGATTTTTGACCGATTTTTAGGCACACTTCTCAGAAGACCAAATAAGGGAGTTTTGATCAAAAATTTTGCCTATAGATAGGTTTAATGACTCTTAGAATATTCGAAAAGTTTCAGTTGAAAAGAATATTCTTTCGTCGAGTTATTGAATTTTCAAGTGAACTCAATTTTTGTAACATGTCTGTGGCAAAGGGCTAATTTTCTAAATTGAATATCTTGATGAAGGAATATTCTTTTCAGCTGAAATTTTCAGAACATTCTAAAAGTCATTAGACCTTTCTATATGCAACATTTTGGGTCAAAACTCCGTTATTCGGCCGTCCGAAGAGTACCTAGAAATGGGTCAAAAATTCAGTAAACCGATCATAACTTGATGACAAAGACCCATGGGGAGGAACTTTTTTAGACTTTTGCTATTCTCACTAAAACCTGCTTGTACGTTCAATATGAGCTTAAACAGCGGGTGCCACTTGAGGTAGTTACATCGTGAGTCTTTCCGTAAATCTGATGTGATTCAACGTAAAAGCATCGTAGAGAGCTTGGAGAGTGTTTTATCCAGATTTTCTCTTCCGAAGGAGCAATTTACAACTCTAGAAGGACGAACACTTATTTTTGGGAGGAGTATAAACACATAGTATGTGGTATAATAATCACGAACTCCGGAGAGCCAGCTCGATTTTCGGAGGAATACTGCCTCCTTGGCTCACACGTTGAACAAAAACACTGCGTTCGAGGACGTCTCATTTTAAAGAATGATTTATTCTATATATTTACTTTGATGTGAGCAAATGTTTATGTCCGAGCTATATTATGAAGTTCACTTCGTTCTACAAATGGTCACTCCAGTGATCAAGAAGGAATGAATCGTTAAAGAATTTCTTTTTTTTTTCAAGGAACTTATTGTATTTTGTTTTTTTCTTTCGTTAAATAGAGGGATGGTTTAGTGTAACACCGGAAAAAATTGCACGACATATTGCGAAACGTTGTCGATGTGATGTTATTATTGATGCTTTTTGTGGTGTTGGAGGAAATACAATACAATTTGCATTTACGTGTCAAAGAGGTAAATATAGGATTCTTTATTTTTTTTTTGTCTTTAAGTTTAAATTGATTTATATTATTAGTTATTGCTATTGATATTGATCCGAAAAAAATCGAAATGGCAAAACAAAATGCTCAAGTTTATGGAGTCGAAGATCGAATTGAATTTATCCAAGGTTAGTTGTAAAAAAAACACAACGATCATATTTTAATTTATAATCTGTTTTTTTTTTGACATATGATTATAATATATAAAAGAAAAAACTTAGTTCCTTTAGAAAAAAAAAACGATTTAATTTCATTGATTATTTTTTCTTCTAGGTGATTTTCTTAAATTGGCTCCAACATTAACCGCTGATGTTGTCTATTTAAGTCCACCATGGGGTGGTCCAGCCTATGGTACAATTGATATATTTGATCTTGAAAAAAATATTGAATTAAATGGTTATCGAGTATTCGAAGTTGCTAAAGCAATAACACCAAATGTCATCTATTTCTTACCACGAAATGTTAATGTTGAACAAGTTATATCATTAATGGATGATAAATCATCATTAGAACTTGAACAAAATTTTCTCAACAATCGATTAAAAACGATAACAGCATATTTTGGTGATTTAGCTAAACAAGCTAATTATTAAACAAGCCTCTCGGTTTTTTTTTGGTTTGCATATGTTAGATAATTCGTTTCTTTTTTCTTTTTTTCTTTATTTCCGGTGGTATCATTATTCCTATGACTTTCTATTTTTAAACACAGATAACAAACAAGAGTTTTTATTTCTATTTGTTGTTTTTTAGTTTCAGATTTATATTCAATGTCGTATCAAAAAGTACAAAATTTTAAATGTCGTTGTCCACTAATACGAATTGGTTTGTTCTATGAAAATATCATTATTATTCATATATATTTTTATTTGAATTTTTAGGTGTGTTTGGTATTCATGAATCTCATCAAATACCTAATATTCCTTGTGACCGTTCATTAAATGATGTTTTTCTTAATCAACATCTTCAATGGTATCATAATTTTGATAGTGTATCAGCTCGAAAATTAGTTCGTGCTATTTTTAATAACATGAATCCAAATGAAACTCTATTTAGTATTGATGAACCTATAATTAAACGAAATATTTCTGTTGAAGGTTACAAATGTATGTTAATAAAATACAAAAATAAGATTTTCGGAAATTTTATAAGATAAATTATTTTAGGTAAATGTCCATTGACACATGATGGTGCATTTGGTCTATCAGATGAACATGATATAACTAATGTTCCATGTGGTAAAAATCTGTTCATTTTTATTTGTTGCTTTTTTTTTCTTATTTTAAGTTTGAACATTTTTAGGACGAGCAGATAAAGAAGTTCTTTGTTTTCAACATTTACAATATCATCATAATCTTTCTTCGCGTGCAGCTAAAAAAATTGTTCTTGCTGTTCTATCTTATACTCCAACAGTAACACAATTATTTCATAATGATGATCTTGTTACACAATCGAAATGTGCTGTAAGAAAACTCAAAAGTAAATGTCCATTATTAGCACATCATATGTATGGTAAGTTAATTAATTTCCACGACAGGAACACACAGAAGCTATGTTCTTGGGTCATCTTCAGTTTCTTTCCATTCATAATTTGAGTGATATAAAATTTCACAAGCAGTCGTTCGGTAACAAAATAAAGATGTTTCTGAAGCAGGCAGATTCATTTTTGCTTAAAATATAGACATTCAATTTTGCATCATAAATTGATGATTTATACATAGAAGAATTAACCGTGTAAATATTCCCATAGAGATATTTATATCCATCATTAACGATAGTTTTACCATTCGGTTCATATGAAAATCTGCATTACACAAATAATGAATTGAAAGAATCTGTAGATGACTTACAAGAGACTCTTATATGCCATTGTCCATTATTTTCCTTTTTTATTTATTGAATTTCTAGGTTTGGGAGATCAACATCATGTTCCAAATATTCCATGTGATCGTGCTGATCAAGATATATTTTTATTTCATCATTTAACATATTTTCATAAATTAAATGCTAAAGCGGCAACAAAATTAATTCGTGCATTAATTTTACGTAAAGATCCATCAGAACCATTATTTCATTATAATGATATTATTGTTGAATCTAAACAAACATTAAATAATCAACATATACGACGAACTAAAAAAATAACAAATAATCAACAAACATTAGGCCAGTTTAATTATTCAAATCAATTTGATTCAAAGTCATTTGAAAATTTTTCATCAAATTTTGTTGGAAATGTCCGATCCAAAGTAAATCAAAATTACAATATCACATGTTTACATCTAAATGAATTTTTACTTTTTTTTTTAGTATCCTTGTTTTTTTAATCCTATAAATACATCGGCTTTGTCAGCTTTAATTCATAAAAATTCAACTGGAAGTAGGAATTTATTTTTTTTTATTGTCTTTTAAAAAAAAAACAAAAATTTCAATTCTTTTATAGAATTCGATAATACTGCAACACCACTCGATTGTACTTTAAATAAACAACAGCCGTATCAAGTAAGTTTTAAAACTTTTCTTTTCAGCGATCGAATAGACAATGCTTAATCTGTAAAAACACAACAAGACAATGTTGACTATAGAGTTGGTCGAATCAAAAATTTTCGGAACTGAATCCGACGAGATCTTATTGGCTGTCTCGAGCACAGTTTCGGATCAGTGAGGTTATCTTATCCTACTCTGCATGATAGGGTAGGGTAAGGTTAGACAATTTTTTTTTTCTCAGTCAAAATACAAAGTATGAAAAAACCTCACCTTGTACATCTTCAGCATGATACTATTTATCACTTTTAGAGTCTTCCAATTAGAGTCAGATGAATGAGAGTGAGACAAACACTTCGTAGGGTAAGATTAAGGTAAAGGTACACTCAAAAAAAAGACTTTATATTGAACTTTTTTAAGTTCGGCAGAGGCTGCGAAACCTAATATGATTCTTCACACGGATACACTCTCGAAACCTTTTTGAGACCCATAGGACGAAAAAGAGTTCAGTATCGAAAATACGAAACCATTTAAGTTTAAAATGAAACTGTATAGGTTTCGCCTTATACCCTAAAGGATTCGTATTGAACTCATATAGTGTCGTGGCAAAGGTTCCGAGAGTGTATCCACACGAAGAACCATTTTGGATTTCGTAGTCCTTACCGAACTTAAAAAGGGTTCGAAATTAAAAGGATTTTTTTAGAGAGTAGGGATTCTCGAGGGTACGAAAAAAAACTTACCCTTCACATTTTTACTTCTTATTTGTGTTCAAGAAGGTCTAGAAATTCCTCCAATGCGACAAAATAGCTCCTGCGTAAGTTGTTCCCATCAAACATTTGCGTATTCATTCTCTTCTTATTCATAAAAACTTTTTCCATCAAACTATTTCATTTTCTATTTAGATGTCTTATACATATTCAACAAATGATATGATACATGGTCATGATTTAAACTCATTTTTATCCTAATTGATGCAATCATAATTATAAGTTCTGTATATTGTTTCTTTTTGTACACTATTTTTTTTCTCAGTATAATATTGTAACGTCAGAAAATAATGCATTATCAGAATAGAAGGCTGTTTTTTTTTGTAATCTGTGTTAGGCTGATGATTATAATCGTGAAAAAAATTAAAAAAAAATTAAAACAAAAGATCAATTTTTTATTATAGTCAAATTCATCAACATGAAAGAAACACAAACACAAAAAAAAAATACGTGAAATTTTTAATTGATTATCGTCAAAATGAAATAGGAGACAAAAAAAATATTCTAGAGCGAAAAAAAATCCATCCGAAATCCCAACATTATTTGAATTTTAACAAAATACGAAAGGAAATTATTTACAAGAGTTCAATTTTTGTTTTTGTTATTCATATCAAATATATACTTTTATATTTATAAAGTTGGATCGCTATTTGATAAATCCAGATCAGCCCATAATTTAAAATCCCCAAGCATTTGTAATTGATTAAAAAAAGCTTCTTGTGTTTGAGGATCAGCTGATGCAAGTGCATCAAGTAAAAGTGGATCAATTTGTTGTGATGATGATGATGATGATGATGATGAACCTATTGCTGTTTGTGATGTTGTAAAAAATGATGGATCATCAAAATTTGTGTTTGTTGAAAATAAACCTAATTTTGGATCAATTAATGAAGCAAGTGTATTTGTAAGTAATGCTGATGATGAATTTTCATCAAAATCATTTTCAATTGATGTTGAAAGATTACCATCTAAACGATTTATATCAGGTAAAATTGATGTTTTTGATGTACAATCATCTGATGATGTATCTGTTGTATCCATTGATGATGATGTATGTGGATTTGTTGAATTTCTTGGTGGTGTTGAACCTTTTTTAGCACGTTTACGTGGTTTATATTTATAATCAGGATATTCACGTAAATGTAACATTTTTAATCTTTCAGCTTCATCAATAAATGGACGACGTTCAATTTCAGATAAACGTTTCCATCTTGCACCTAAATATTTTGATATTTCAGCATTATGCATATCAGGTGCTAATTGTACAATTTTACGACGTTCTAATTGTGAAAAAACCATAAATGCATTCATAGGTCGTTTTATACGATTAATACGTTTTTTTGATCTTGTACGTGTTGCATCTGAATATGGTGTTTGAGTTTCAGGTTCAATTAATGATGAACCAAAACATGATGGTGGTTGTGTACTTGGTGATGTTAAAAGTTCAACTAAAACTTTTGTTTTAGCAAAAAATGCATCATTTTGTGTTGTTGGAGATGATGATGATTGTACAGATGTTGGTAAAACAGATGTTGAACGAACATTTGTTATGCGTGATGATGATGAATTTTCATTTTCTTTATTTGATGATGAAACTAGAAACAAATAAGTATGATATTCTTCTTTTTTGGTATTCCTTAAACAGGTGTTCCATAGGGAATGCATCGTAACATTAAAACTGATATATTTCGTATAAGATATGATCACTTTTTCATGATGGTTGAACTTCCATCTTTAAAAAAATGTCATATGGAAAGGTGGAACACTTGCTTAAGGAATAGAATTTTCTTTTTTCATGAAAATGAAAATATTTACTATGATTATTAATAGATGGTACAATTGTTGTTTGTGGTTGTTGTATAACATTTGTTGTTGATAAAATAGGTGTTTCGAGAAGTTTAGCAATACTATTTTGTGTGGTTGTTGCTGTTGAATTATTTGTTGATTGTAATAATGCCATTTGATTTAATGTATTTAAACTATTAACAAGTGTTGCTAAATTAATACCATTTTGTCCATTTATAATTGTTGTTGATGTTGGTGTAGATATATTTGTATTATGATTATTATTATTATTTGAAAATAAAAGACGATTAACAGTTATTGTTCGTGGTTGTTGAGGTTCAGTTTTTGTATTATTCATTATAAAAACAGCTGGTTGTTGATCTGTTGAATCATTTAATAATGATGATGATGATGTTATTGTTGGTTGTGTTGTTGTTATAGAACGCATTTTTTGTAAAGCAGCATCACCAATACGCATTGGATTTAATGAATTTTTATTTAATGATGAAGAATTTTTAACAGCAGGTATTATAATAGCACCTGATGATGTATTTGCAATA